ACTGGAGGAAGCTCACTGTGAACGCCGTTTGCAGACTCCTCTGAGAATGATCACAGCAGTTAATATAAAGATCAGGAAACATAGCGAAGGTACAATAATTGCAATTGTTGTAAGTTTGCTGATTTTATTCGAACTTTCAGCTTCAGCGTTCTCTGTAAAATAAAATAAAAAAGTGAGTCATTTCACTGCAATTCAGTTGGTTCAGATATGCTAATTTCCAACCAACAGCAGTATCTTGTTTTTTTTTTGTTGTTATTATTATTATTAGCTCTATGTTTTCAGAAAGGAAGTCAGAAGTGCTTACACCAGCCCTGTGGTCTCTGAAAAGACCTCAGGCATCTCACAAAATGTTTTTTTACCGCTTCATGTCATTCATGTCAAGTCTGAAACTTGGGAGCTTTATATTTCTACTTTCATACTGTGGTTTGAGTGGGAAAAGCATTAATCCTGCCACACAATCTAACATTAAGGTCAATGCACAAATATGAAGGAAACGTCAGTGCAGCCAGAGGTGTGCAGCGCTATTGTGTGTGGGTGAGTTTTCAACTTCCACTTAGAACAGCATTTGAGTAGTGCTCTCACCAGCCGCCTATAAAAGCTCACAAACTGCAGTTAATCCAATGTAGTCTTTAGAGCAAAAGGGCAGGGACTTGTGTATTTTAGAAAGAAGATAAAAATGGGATAAGCTAAAAAATGCCATTGTTGTCAACCTCTTCTTCTTTACGTGCCCCACCATCAGCCAGCTTCTGCCCCACCCCCACACTGTATTCAGTCATGATGGGTGTGTAAGGTGTGCTTTTTTGTCTGTTTGGTTGGTTTTTGCAATCTAAAAACAAAAGTTGATAAACTCACCTATAATCACAAGCTCCCATTCCTGCTCAATGACTCCAGAGTCTGTGGTCATTGCACAAGTGTAGTTTCCTGTGTGATTTTTCTGGGCGCTCTCTATGATTAGTGCATATGATTGGCTTTCTAAGGTGGACATGTTTAGATTCAGGGTGGCAGCAGCAGGAGACCTGTTTAAGGTGACAGAGCTGCTGTTTGAGGCTTTCTGCGGCCTGAAACTAAACAGCTGAGTCCCATTCCTTCTCCATGTCAGT